GCAGTACAGCAGAGGCGTACACTTTGTAGTAAACACATGCAAAAGTAAGCTCGACCCATTGATTGGGATATTTGTGCTTTACCAAAATAAAGAAATTGAGCTCGCTAATGGATAGGTGTCAATGTATTCAAAGTTTCAGTTTCTATGGCGGCAAGCCCTTTCCTAATAGACTAACAGGTGAAGGGTCTTAAGTACATTGGAGCCACTGTGCTCTTAGTAAGCAGATATAAAAAAATCCTCACACATAAGTCCATGGCTAAATCCATGATATAAATCGTTTCCGGTGATTAACACTGGGCCTCAAATTACAATGCAGGTCAGTGTAGCATTTCCATGTATTAATTCTAGGGCATGAAAGGGGCTTTTCTGTGCTGGATAGTCTGTCACCAATTTCATTAGCTCACAGATTACCTAATTAACACCACTGCTTCAGCAAATGTTAAATCAGAATAATCCGAGCTTGGCACCAGAGAGCTTGACAGCTCACAGGAGTTCCTAGTCGAATGAGACCCCTAGAGGTTGATTTCTAAAAAAAGTCCCAAGTTTGCTGAACTGTTTGAAGGGCAGCTGGAAAATGTTAGGAGTCTGGGCTCCAGATTCCTCCCTCCCCTGTCTGAGCAGTCCTGCAGTGATCCGTGGCCATGTGTATCGTGTCCTGCTCCCAGGCAAGGCACATGTGCCCCCGAATTCTGTGCCCTTTACTGCCACGAGGTCCCAACAAACATCTGTCTGTGCCTCTGGACTCTATACAATCCAGCCGCAGAAGGCATGTGGCAGCCATTTCCCGCGGAGCGCTCGGTCAGCCTGCTGTTTCTCTGGCCGGAGACCTGGCTGCAGACTGGCGCAGCTCTGTCCCTGGTGGCACACCGCTCTTAGGAAAAGAGAAAAAAATCACCGAACAGCACTGCTGCTCTTGGCTCGGAGCATCCTGACATCTGCACCCCTGGGGGGGTATCAAGGGAATGTCATCTGGGCTTAAAGTGCCTCCTGGCAAACAGGGCATGCCTCAGGTTACGCTAAAACCCTTCTGGGGTTTGCTCCTAGTTAGTTTTGGAGACTGACTTGGTTCAGCTGAGTTGTTTGGCTTCAGTGCATCAGGTTCAGCTTGTGAGTTTTCTTCTGTTCAGATTGCTCAAGTGGCTCTGTACACATTCTCGGAGCACTTTTTCTTCAGTCTTCAATTGCCCCCCTGGGAATGAATGGCGTATTTTGAATTGAACTGAAATATCTTACATCTTATTTTACCTGGAGTGTGCAGTGCCAGACTGCTTGCAGACCTCTTACCCCGCACTGTCCTGGAAAACACTTCTTAAAAACACTTCAGGGTTGCTGCAGTATGTCTTAGTGCCTCTATATTATGTGTTTTTTGCGACTCCTGAACTGGTCAGCCAGTAAAGACTCAGAGCGCTGAGTGAACTCTGTGACCCCCGCTCGTGGGTCACATGAGCAGCCAGCTGTGCCAGCTGTGCCAGGGGCAGGGTCGAGATTAGCCACTGTTCCCCCATCTGGCACCGATCCTCCTGTCATGCGCTGTGGACAACAAGAGCAGCTCAAAAGACGTCCTCTTCCTTCCTTCTCCTGTAGAAGCTGATTGGATGGAAAAGCTGTTTCGTGGGACACAGTGAATTCTTAGACCAGTGGAAACCAGAGGCGATTGCCTTTAAATGCAAAATGTCTATATTTCCACCTGTTAAAGATAGCTGCATGATTCAGCATACCTTTTAAATAGATGGGTTTGTTGTTATTAACAGGTGGAGTGGTAAAAGAGCAGGGTGTTTTCGTGTAGGCTGTAGGTGTCGGTAGCGCTGGCAGTTGGTAAACCAGCAAGGAAAGATGCTTAGCATCACCTGTCCTGCCCAGTGGATCCCACTTACCGCAGCTAATCTGGGATTGTGCTTGGATGAAGCAGATGGTCTTCAGTCATTGTAGAACAGGATCCCCCGACTGTCTCAGGCCCGCCTAAGCCAGCCGTTATAGTGCCATGGAACAAGTAATAGGTTTATTCCATGCTGAAAAGAGAAGAAAGAAAACACAACATTTCCGCTGTGGAGCACACCTGAAGAAGCTCCCCCTTGGCCCTGTATTGGAAGAAGCGATTAGAAAATGGACAGATGGAGAAATCCCAGAAGGACTGGAGCTGTAGTGGATGCACAGTTGTCTGTGATACTGTGCGCTGTGGCATAAATGTTTCTGAATTTCACACCCCCCCCTGGGAGGGCGTTGTTGTCTGTGGTTGTCATTGCTGTAGGACCGTTGGAAGAGTACCTCCAAATAAAAACAAAAGAGCAAAGACTTTTCTCTGGAATCGCCAAACTCTTGTGTGAAATGAGAAACTGCCTTTTCTCTTAAAACTGTCTGAAAGTAAAAATACATGTCCGGCAAATTAAAGAAGAACCCTTTAATTACATATGTGTTTCTGATCTGTTCTGGGGCTGAAGGAATGTGGTTTTTTCGCTGGCAGAACATTGTGTCAGCTGGACTTGGCAGATGTCAGGAGACAGGAAGAAGAGGCGTTAAATGGGAAAATGAACAATTCATTTATGCCACAGCGCACAGTATCACAGAGAACTGTGCATCCATTACAGCTCCAGTCCTTCTGGGACTTAACCATCCGGCCATTTTCGAATTGCATCTTCCAATACAGGGCCAAGGGGGAGCCGGAGACTATCCCAGCAGGCAACGGGCTCAACACTGGGCACACACCCTGGCCGGGACACCCGTCCATCGCGGACTTCTGGGATCCAGTAACAGAATATTCCGACTAGTGGGAACGTGTGGTTTTAATTAGCATGGAATGTGTCCCAGACTCGGACTTTGTGACGCCGACACTAACACCGGTAGATTAAACCAGTCTTTTGTGGAAAGTTAAACAATGTGGTATTTTGCTGGCAGAACATTGTCAGCGGGACTGGTCAAGAGACGGGAAGAAGTGGGGAAAAATAACAATTCCAATAGCAGTGTTCTTCTGAACCAAGCCACAAAGGGGTCTCCTTACTTAAGTCCCTTTTAAAATGAGTCCCACTTCGATCCCAGCTAAGCTAACACCCTGTCTTCTGTTGGGGCGGCTCTTGCCTCAGAACTGCTGGACCGTTGGAACTACGTTACAAGTAGGATGTGGACAAGTGTCAAGCATTCAACCAGATTAAGGGGTAGGGTGATGTGAGGTGTTGTTTTCACAGTTATGCTTAAACCTACTGCTTGTGAATTGATTGTATGTTCTGATATTTCTGCAAATATATCCAAATAGGAATTCTATTAAGAGAGCTTTGTCTATGCACTTTTGAAGAGATGCATTGTTTTTTTATTCTGTAGGTATGTTTGTGTGACATGTTACGACCATTGAGTGTATTTTTATTGTTCAGCAGATCTGATTGTTAACTCGGTAAATCTGAACTGCTTGAGCCTCCATCCACTCATTCTCTGACCGCTTCTTTCAATTCAGGGACTCGGGCATCCAATTAAAAAAAAAACTACAATATCAGAATGAAGACTGACACGCTAAGTTAAAATAATCAAAGGATTTACAGAGTGGTGGCTGTTCTGTGTTTGAAGTTTTTATTTTTTTAGCCAGAAATATGGGATGTTCCTAACGTTTTCCAGTTGGGAATGTTCCTCCTGTGTGCTTTACAGCAGGAAGGGACGCAGCGGTTTTAGGTTTCCCTTCTGATTACTGTGGGTTTGATCTGGAATGGAAATCCCAGCTGAGCCCAGAAGCTGGGAAAAGGAACAGCTCTCTTTCCTCTCGGCCCCTGCAGCTCTGTCCCCTTCTCTCTTCGGAGGCGACTCGATCCCAAGCTCCGCTGGCAAATCGTTTCCCATCTGCTTCCGATTACATCTGCTTGCAGCTGGTCTGTCGCCAGGCCACTGGCCGATGTGGCGTCTCTTCTTCCTTTTTCAAGCCCTCGCGTTCCAAAATGTATCGCTGTGCCGTAAGCAAAGCTAAACAAGCTTTTCAGGCAGGAAAGGTCGAAGTGCCTGAAGTTTATGTGCTTGAGAACATGACATTTACCAAAAAATGCACCGGCTTGCGGGTGTGGCCAGCTGGTCTTTCTTAACTGCCTTTGTGGGGCACTGGGATTTCTGGAGGGTGTGTGGTTAGAGGCGCAGTAACATCGCAGGTGGCTAATGATCCCTGGTCTCACCTTCATACCCAAATCCGTGAGGAAGGTGGGATGTAGGAGGGAGGACAGCAACGTTTTGAGAGTGCCAAGGAAAAACATGAAAAGGACAAGGAGAATCTCCTGGAGTTAACTGTGGGCAGCTAGTATATTGGTTCTGATTAGCCCTTAGATGTCCGGTCCTTTCATGTAGGTCATTATCGGCAGCGTGATTGTGATGATTTGGCATCCAAATTAAAGTACATGTGAGGTCAGGGTTTTAATTAAAAAAATGAATTTATTTGTGAAGGGACTAGTCAGGAAAAAGGGGCTTGTTTCATGTGAAATTTGTTATTAATGCACGTATAGTCTTTGTCATTGTATTTGCTAAGTGATTTGAAAAACCTGATTACTCCCGCTAGCAGGCTGGAAGTTACCTGCTGTTTCACTCAATTTGTGTAATTTTCTTTTATAGCTTCTCACATAATGCTCATATCCGGCCGAGCTTTTAAAGCACAGCTTTTAAGACATCAATGCTTTCCTCTTCTAGTAAACTTCTGAACTTCCTTTGATGGATGGGAGAATGGGAAGGGGTTGAGTATTTTCAGTCTCCTTAATTGCTGGACATTGTTTCTTCCAGGCACAACAGCAAGTGATTGATTAACCAAAAAGCCGCAGGGCGTATAAACTCAGGCGCACCACTGTAGAACAAATATATTGGTTGGACCACAGGGGCCCTGACCTTCCTGTGCTTGCAGTTTCTTTTTCCAAAGCTCCTCACAGGAACCCGTTTCTCTTCAGCAGAGAGGCCCAGTGTGATCCTGTTTATCATGAGCAGAGACCATTACCTGACCAGCCCTCCATCCCCCTCTACAAATACATATACCTGTTGAATACCTGCAGAGAGAGAGGCGGTGAAGGGGTTCCTGTCGTCCGATTGCTGTGAAGGAGAGCGACCGCCCACCGCCATGGACCAGAAGGACGCTCGGTTGTCTCCGTGAGCGGACGTTAGAGAGCCGAAGACATGTTGGGACAGAGGGTCGGGGACCACGCTGATGCTAGAAGTAGTAACCATGGAAACGGTATGGAGGACTTTGGCCTGCTTTATTGCCATCGTCATGGTTGCCACAAGAGTCACCCAAAGCCTGACAGCTGAGAAGTTCAATTCACAAGGTAAAACAAAACAAAAGTGCTTTTTCTTGAAGGGCTTGGGGGGTGGTGTCAGAACTGTTTTTTTTTTTTTAACTGACATTTTCTTTAACATAAAAATGCTGATAACATGTTAGGAACTAGGGTGCGTCCTTAAGGCGCAAGAAACTCAGTTCTGATCGGCCTTACACCGTTTCTGTTTAGCATGGACGATGATTCATCCTGGGGCCAGCCCTGGTACAGACAGGGAGAGAGGGTGACCTGGGTGACCTCCTCCAACATGGCCGCCTGTCAGAGACATTTCTCAGCAGGTGCCTAACCCTACCCCAGCTCTGCAGAGCCACCGCCAGCTGGAGGAGCTGTGCTTCTCACGCTGGCGCTGCCACAAGCTCGCAGGTACCCCTCCTGGCCCCAACAAAGCCCCAGAAACCCCTGGCCGAGTCAGACTCGCCTCACCCCTCACTCGCCTGGACCAGAGGGCCCAGGGGCAGTCGGCTTGGCCGCAGCCCCTCGACACCCGGCACTTGGGGTTCAGCCCCCCCTCCGAGCAGAGTGGTTCTAGTGGGTAAGCTGCTGGGGAGCTGTACGGCGGTCACTCTCTGTGACCTGAGCATTTAAAATGTCACCGCTGGCATGACTCCTTAGACATAAGCTTCGCATTATGGTGAAATCTGACATCATGAAGTAGGTGGATATCTGTGACGGGTGCTGGCTGGTTGTTAGGTTTGATTTAAACTCGGTCATTGTGCGCGGAAATCGCAGGGATTTAGAGCAGAAACTGCCCAGTCTTTGATGTGCCATGACCATGCGCTGTCCTGCTCTTGTCCTCAGATGCCCTTTACTTCAGCTGCTCTTTGGCACAGTAGCCTTGTTTTTACTGGATTATTATTTTTTTTTACATCCTAGAAATAGCTCTTGATAGCTGTCAGAAATCCGGCAGGGGATTTTTTAAATGAACGTTCTTCAGATTTTGCTGAGCCAGAAAGGGCCAGGCAATTCTTTACCTTTAGAAAGCATTCAAAATTCTTTACTGTCCATCTGTGTATATGGCTCATCTGTGGAACAAGGCTGTGGTTGTACATTTCTGATACTTAACATCTTTACATTAGGAGTCATCTGTTTCCAATCCTAGACAGCACTGCTCCTTTTTAAACTACCACAGGCGAAGACATTTATCAGTTCTGTACACAAAGCACTGTGCAGAAGGCAAAATAAAGCAAATTAGCAGATGAATGCAAGCATACATAATGGAATAGATTCTTTAGAAATACTTTAGTTGCCAGATAAGGTCTAGATGTTTAGCATCTGCATGATTTTCTTATTTTATGATTTGTTGCAGGCCCCACAGAGTGCGTAGTTTTCTGTTTCCACTTAGATTTGTATTTGAAATGCTGTCTGACATTTGCAAAATGTAAATCCATTTTGGAGAAAAATAAAGTTGTTTCTCAAAGCTTAATGCAAGAACTTGTTATGGGGTAACCCACCCATATTTGTTCAGAATGCTTTGCCCCACTGGGGATTCTTGAACTGGACAGTGCTAGAGTCCATCCCTTCTCTACCTCCTCGCAGAGTGGCCAGTCTTTTCAAAAATGTTTTTTGTTTGTTTGTGAGAAACGGAAAGCAACACACAAGGCATGAATCACACTACCTGCATGTATAGAGACAACTTAAGGATTCCTGGACATTCAGCTTTGGGGAAAAAAAGCCAGTTTGTTCAGGAGCTACCCCTGCTCTGGCCAAACATGATAGAGATTGATGCTTTTGGTGCTGGCCTGTGATTTGTTTTGCCGTGTGTTGGACTACTGGCAGAGAACGTGTGTATGGGAATCCCAGGAAGTAGGTTTGATGGGGAGGATCAGTCAAAGGTGGTCTGAGGACTGCAACCTCCAGACAGCAGCATCTCTGATCGGAGTTAAAATATAAGTGGGCAGCACTGGCAACTCACCATTTTGCTAGTGCCAGGTACTGCTCCTTTTGTTTTTAATTAAAAAAAAAAATCACCAGTTATTTCTTTGGGAGTCAAGAGGACCCTAATATCCGCCCTGTCACGGACACTGTGCAGTGCTTCCTGGGAAAGCCTGGTCCCTGTTGCCTAGTGACACGACCCAGGCATACGTTAGCAGCCTATGGGTCTGAGAGCTCTGCCTGCTCGCCGAATGAGGGTCTTTCCTGTTTGCGTCGCCTGGGAGTTCACCACTCTCACTTTGGCGTAACAAGCAGGTGATCTCCTGCTTGTGTGTTCTCTACTGTAGCAAATGCAAAAAGCAAGCGAGACCGTAGTCAAATTCAATACGTGGGGCACGTTTTCCTGCTGCCCGTATAACGTTTGCAGTTTTAGCACGTGATAATAGTGAGCATATCTGGCTGGCCTAACTGGTGTTTAAAAAAAGGCAAATATGCAGACACGCTTTAGCTGGATTTGTAGGCAAGTTATTTTTCCTCCTAAATAACCGAATAATGAGGTAAGCTTTCATGTTGGTTGCACTGAGTCATTTAGTTATGTATGCTGTTATTAAATCATTGCACAATGTTTATATATAACTTTGCCCAAGCTGAACTGTACAGTGGATATATTGTAAGCATGCTTATAACTCAAAAACATTAATAACAGCGATGGGGAAATTAACAAAATTCCAGGAAATGTTTGACAGGGCACATAGACTATAGACACTGCACAGACAATGTGCAACATTTAGGAAGAGTTCTGTTGACTGTAAAGCTGGCATTTCAGAAAGTTCTGCTTCACTCATTCCTGCAGCCCAGGCACCAGAGACAGCTGCTGCACATCTGGAAAAAGAAATTGGCTGTTTCCACTGGTACAGCTTCTTTAGGACGAGTGCTGTAAAAGGGGCACTGTTCGCGGTTTCTGGAGGCCTGATCAAGGGCTTCTTCTTTTCAGGGCCTGAATGGTGCTGAATCACAATCAGGACTGATGTTGTTTGTATTCCAGAGGTGAGCTTTTCCTTTCCAAGGAACTGAAGTCTCAGCATTTTATGGGGTTCCCCTATAAAAGAGTGTCGCGCCTAATTAGCGGTGATTAGACCGCAAGGCAGACAAGCGTGAACTCAGCTCATGGCAGCAGCGTAGCAGTGCTTCACCCAGAGGAAAAAAGCGCCATTCAAGAAAAACGTAAAATAACTTTCAGCTCAGCAGCAGGACTGTGGGACAGTTGTGTGGGGATTACGACGGACCTGAGGTGATTTAGAATTGCGTGCCTGCTGGAGGACAGAGCCGGGCTTTCAGTCTGCCTTGTGGAGGGGAAGGAACAAGAACCTGGGAGGGCAGACTCAGATGAACGCTCTCAAGCTCTCCACTGGCTTCATTTGTGGCTCAAGTTCCCATCTCGACTGAGAGCTTGACAGCACCGGCATTTGCTCATTTCGGGATTACTTCCTTGTCTAAAAACTGTCAATGAGAAGGCAGTAACGGCATCTTTGCTTTTTTTTCCACACAAGAAATGCGGGTGTCTGATTCCCGTTCTCTGTCTGGAGCTCCAGGACACTTACACACTTCCTGGGAGCCTTCAGAGGTGGTTAGGTTCTGTTTGCCTATTATTTTTAAAGGGGATCTTCCCTGTTGTCACTTGGTGTTCTTTGTCGAGTCTGGCTAGATGGCGATGCTGATCTGGGGCACTCGCAGCAGCACATTATACAGTAGATCTGGATGGGCCTGACTGCAGCAAAACAGGTGCAGCTGCTGTGTGGGGAGACTCTGCTTTCTCACCTGCACCATCGGTGGATCCATAGGGAAGGTCACAGACGATGGGAGTGTATTCTGCACATCTAGCCCATCTGCTAGTTAGTTTGATAGTAAGGATCTCATCCGGTCATTTCTTGTCGGCTTCAACAACAGGGCCGGGTAGCTTGTTCTAGACCCCCACAACTCAAGGGAAATCAGATCCTGTCTGATCCTGACTATATTTCTGTGTGTTTATTTGTATGATATGCAGGTCTCTACTGCTTGCATTCAAGGTGCCAGGCCCGTGGGGGTACGATGGAGGCTTGGAGTACATCTGCCTGTGCAGTCCAGGCCTTGTTGCGTGGGGCTGCTGTTGTCACCGATTTCATTTGGTTGATCCTGGATAGTATTTTGTAGGTGAAGCTACTATTGGGAACGATGGGGCATGGTTGGAGAGGGATTTCACAGGGTGGGGGAAATATTTGTTTTTCTGTATTATTAGTTATTTTGGTACTGCGTTTCAGAAATGACTCTTGTACGGAATTTAGCTTGCTTGATGTCCAGAGGTGGGCGTTGTGTGCTAATAAGGGCAGGAGGCTGAAAAGGTTCCGTAGCTTCACGGCTTTGACATAAATTGACGGCTTTGGTTTGAGCATTAAAGCAATGGACTCAATTTGGTCTCGACACTGTCCTGACATTTGAGTTCGTCTATGTAGCCACGTGACATCCGAGATTGCATGAACAGAGATAACACCGGTCGGGTGCCAACGTTCACTGATGTCCAAGTGTGGCTTTTCAAACAGTCTGGCAAGAAACAAAGGCAACAGCCAGATGCTCTGTTGCTTGGTTCCACTCAGTTGGGAATGTTTTTGGCTTCACTGTCCCTTAGGAATAATCAGCAGAGTTTTGTTTTTGGGCATTTCTTACTTTGCAGTTCTGACAAGCAGTGCCTGGACAGCAGAGTAAATGAGAATTTCTCTTAGCCACGAAAAGTAAAACAATATGTAATCTACAAGAGGAATTTGATAGAGTTCTTACAAAAGATAATTAGGACACTCTGGCCTTTGATCCATTGCTGTCCATTCCCTGTGGAATACTGGAACAGTATTCCTTATTTTTGAAGTAGTGTATATACAGTAATTCAGTCCACAGGAGGAATGTATACAATGCTAGGAGCTCCATAGTTAAGAGAGAAATGGATTGAAAAGATGCAGTTATCTGCAGGTGTAAGTCTTCCTCTACAAATTGCTGGACTTCTTTTCCCTCTGCAGTTGATGAAGTTAATTGGACATTTCATTTTTGCAATTGCTGTTGTTCTACTTGAATACAGGGTCGTCTGGTGTGTATGTCGAGGGTACTAGTTTGCTGATCGGCTGCTGGATCTCTGTACTTTATTCTTCCATCTTGGAAGCATGTCAGCCACCTTCTCAATGTTATACCAGGGTGTTACATGAGTCTTTGCTCAAATGCAAAGCGAACTTTCATACTGTCCTGACTGCAAAATAAGAAGACTCAAGAGGTGCTGCTGTATGGCTCTTTCCTTAGCGTTGAAGGCTTAGTTTCATCCGTGCTTCTTCCAATTCAGGGTCGCAGGGGAGCTGGAGTCTATCCTGGCAAGCAAAGGGTTGACCCTGCCCGGGCCGCCAGTCCATCACAAATACAGGCTCACACTCACACCAGGGCCAGTTGTTCCAGAAGTCAGTTAACCTACCAGCATGTTTTTGGACAGTGAGAGGAAACCAGAGCACCTGGAGAACCCCCCCACCACAAACTCTGGGAGAACTCTCCGCAGTCGGCACCCCAGGTCCGGAATCGAACCCGGGGCCCCAGCTCTGCGAAGCGGCAAAGCTGACCTCTGCGCAGGCCTGGCCGAGTTTCAAGCCCTGTCTTCAGTACGATTTTCAGGCACAAGTCCAAGGAAAACTCTACGTCCCCACGATGAACCTCCCAGCCGAGCACAGCTGACGGCCGGCCCAGCAGTGAGCACATGTGTCCGTCGCAGGGAAGCCGGGAACTTTCTAAAAATACAAGAAGGGATTACTTCATCGCTGCTCGGTCCTCGTTAACGAGATTGCCCTGTCAGGTGGCGGTGTCGGATCTGATTAGGCCACCCGGCAGGTTGAGAGAGGTTGCCGCGGAGTTTAAAGGAGAAGGCTGGCCTTAGCTGGGCAGACAGGGATTTGGGGAGCACAGTGCTCTTCTAAGTGGTACCAAATGTTTGAAGCCCTCCTTACAGACGTCTCTCATGTTCTCTCTGCTTATCTTGAATGCATGGAGGTTCCAGGCCACAATAGCTCTAAAATAAATAGTTTTTTTCTAATGTGTGCAAGAAATCCTTCCAGATGATCCTAAAATAACACAAAGGAACAATGCAAGCAATAAGCCGGCATCTGTGTTTCAATGTTAACAGGCTGCTGCACCTCCTTAAGGGAAAAGGCACTTTATGTGCTGTTTGTTTTCTCTGGCTCGGTGATGTAAATAAAGCACCGCCCTCCAGCCTATGGATGAAACACTAATCCCGCGCTGCTTTCCACAGGAATGGCGGGTTTCACCAGAATCAGGAGGGAGCTTTCAGGAATTGTTCACATATGCACTGAGCCTTCCCCTCTCAGTGCAGTGCTTGATGTTGGGATAATGAATCTCTGAATCCCCTGCCCGAAGCAGGAAGTTTCAGTGTTCCCAAGGAGACGGACCTGGAATATAGTGTGAATCTGAAGAAACTCCCATTTTTTTTCTCATAATAATTACTCATAAGAAAAATAATAGTTTACTACTGATTGCTAGTATAAACGAATAATTACTAGTTTTTAATGGAAGCACAGCCTCTTCTTCTTCGAGCAAAGAAGCTGTCCTGAAGTACTTTCACCGAAGTTATTTTCAGTCTTGTGTCTTTAATACAGTATGTCAGTGGGATGTTTTAAAGAAGAGGAGTCACGTGCCTCTTGGTTTGCGGTGCATTTGTGTGTTTTCAATGATCCAGCTGTCAGATTTGACTGGATATCCCTCTGATGAATAGCAGCAGGCTTCAGGTCTCACTGTTCGTATGAGTTTGCAGGGTTAATCCTATATTTCCACCTTCAAAAGGAGGAGACTGAGAGTCTGTCTTGGTGTTCAGCATGCAGTGTGGCCTGCACATGCTGAAGATCTGACAGCTGGACTGGGTGAGAGGGCAGTCTTGTACTGTGAGTGAGATGGCATGACTTGTTTGGCACTGCTTTTGAATGACAAGTTGCTGCCAAAGGCTTGTGTTGTGTTTCTTGTTTCTTGCACCCCAGCGCCTCTTAGCTTGACGGGAATTGTGTGTATTCACAGATTGAGACTAAGTAGAATCTGCATGTAGATTATGGCTCTTCACAAAATGTATGGTACAGTATGTATCACAATGGCTGTTGCTTGAATAAACCTTTAAGTGCTTTTTGAAATGGGCGGCACGGTGGTGCAGTGGTCAGCATTGGTGCCCCACAGTGCTGGGGCCCTGGGTTCAATTCCAGACCTGGGGTGCTGTCTGTGTGGAGTTCTCCCTGTGTTTGTGTGGGTTTGTGCTCCGGTTTCCTCCCACAATCCAAAGACGTGCTGGTAGGTTTAGTGGCTTCTGGGAAAAACTGGCCCTGGCGTGAGTGTGTGTGTGTGTGTCCTGTGATGGGCTGACGTCCCGCCCAGGGTGTCCCCTGCCTTGTGCCCGTTGCTTGCCAGGATAGACTCCGACTTCCCCGAGCCCCCGAGTTAGATGAAGAGGTTAGAAAATGAATGGATGCTTTTGGAAATACAACCGTCTAACAGATTGGAAGAAATGCTGATTGGCTTTCATCCCACAGTCCTGTTTCAGGCATTTCGGGGGTGAAACTGAAAAAAATCCCTTCTCAGGGGCCCGCAGAAGCAGAGAGCCGCGTGGAAGCCCCTGATCTCAGTGTCGCTGTGTCTCTCTGTCTCTCTGTCTCTCTCTCAGCCGCCTTCCTGTCCAGCCTGTCGGACTACGAGATTGCGATCCCGGTGCGCGTGGGGCCGTGGGGTGAGGCCCTGAGCGAGCAGCGGGTGGGCTCGGCGGAGGAGGGGGGGCGGCGGGGCCGGCGGCGGCGGCGCAGCCTTGACGCGGAGCCCGCAGACAGGCCGCTCTTCTACCGGCTGTCGGCCGGCCGCACCAGCCTCCTGCTGAACCTGACGCTGCACTCCAGCCTGCTGTCGGAGCGCTTCAGCGTGGAGTACTGGAGGAGGGGCCGGCTGGCCTGGAGCCAGGCCTTCTCCCCTAACTGCCACTACATCGGGCACCTCCAGCACCAGCAGGACTCCAGCGCCGTGGCCCTCAGCAACTGCAACGGCCTGGTAGGCACCAGGCACACAACACCCCACACCGTCACGCAACACACAGAGAGTGCAACACCCCACACCGTCACGCAACACACAGAGAGTGCAACACCCCACACCGTCACGCAA